GGAAGAGGGGGTCAATCTATTCTCCAAAGTAGGAAAAAGGCAGGAAAAAAACAACCTAGAATTAAGGAAAAAATTCCTGATAGTGAGTACAATTAGCTTGCCATAAGTTGTGGGTGCTCCATAACTAGAAGTTTTTAAGAAGAGATTGGACAGCTATTTGTCTGGAATAGCATTTGTCTTGAGCAGCAGGTTGTACTAGAAGACTTCCAAGGTCCCTTCCAGCTCTATTATTCTGTTAAAGTTCAGCTCTAAAGTCCCTAGAAATATCACGGCAGGACCTAAAATTATTGTATTATGGTTTTAGATTTGAATCTATATCTAAATATAACTATACAAGTTTTATAGTTGTAACTATAAAAAGTATTTTATAGTTGTAATAAAATTACAAGGAGCACAGTATCTTCTTCTTCTAGGGATACCATAAATTCTTGATCCAAAAAAGCTGTATTTTGCAAATTCGTTTGTCTTCTTCAAATTTCTGTGTGCCAGAATTCACATTTTAATTCTATATCCTTGATCCATTGCTTAACAGTGTCCATAGCATTATCTAAAAGTCAGCTTAACAGATGTTCATAGGTGTACAGTTGGCTTGTGATATTTTTCCACTATTTAGATATATACATACTTTTAATTGCATTTGCAATTAATCCTGCTGTCAGCAAGTTAACCCTTTGCCTGGCAAACATTGCTTGCCAGTTTTTGCCTGTTACTCGGAGAAGCCTGGCTTCCAATTTCAGTGCTGCAGAAGATTGATGACAGCCTCTCAAGTAAACCAAACAAGAAAAGTGACAAGGTGAACTAAATTTATTTTATTGTAGGGCTAAAATAACAGGGGCAAATCTAAAAGTATAAATCTCCTGCCTTCTCTTTTAATTGCCCAAATAATTAGGATGAATTCTTTCTAAATTTCTTTGTTCTCCTGCTTCCCTTCCCCTTTATCCAATTACTGTAGGTAAAACCAAACCACTTTAAAATATATAATATCATGTGAAATGAAACTGGGATTTTTTAATAAGTAAACCTCTGTTTTAAAGATTTGAAGGAAAATCTGTTCTATCAGCCTCTATAATTTTATTTATATTGATCTTTTTTCTCTACTTTCTCTCTGCAGGTGGATAAATTCCAAAAGGTCTTTGAAATCCAATGAACCCTCTGAATCAACACATGAGCATTTTACATAATTATAAATAAATACAATAATTTTAGAAAGCTATTTATAATTAAAATACTTTGCAGTATGAAACAGTAGAAGAATTGAAAAATCCAAGAAAACTGAAAACAGCAAGCTGAGTGGCAAAATACTATGAATAACAGAAACTACCCAAATACTTGAACAAAGGAATTCTATGTCCAGGATAATGCCAGAGAAAAAGGCTTTGCTGGCGTGATCATTTACAATGTTTTGGGTAAGAACATATGGCTCAAGATCAAGCAAGTGTCCTTGTAAGAATGTGGTTTCTCAAATAGCTTGGAGCTAATCTACTTAGAACAAGGCTGTCAAACTGCTGACACGTGGCCTAATTGCATCATGCGGAGGCCGCACCCACCCCAGCTCCGGCAATGCAAAAAAACTTGTGACATGTCACAAAACGTCATGTGACGTGGTGAGTTTGACACCCGTGACTTAGAACCTTAGCGACAAGTACCTGATTGAAACAGTATGGAAATAATGGGACCCCAACTGTTTGGTTTCTACTGTAAAAATATTTCTTATGCTATACAGGTGATCCTCGACTTATGATCTCAATTGAACCCAAAATGTATGTTGCTAAGTGAAAAAATTGTTAAGTGAATTTTGCACCTATTTTATGACTTTTCTTGCTACATTTATTAAGTCAATCACTACAGTTGTTAAATTAGTAATATGGTTGCTAAGTGAATCTGGAGTCCCCAATGACTTTGCTTGGAAGGTTGGAAAAGGGGATCACATAACCCTGGGACACTGCAACCATCATAAACATGAACCAGCTGTCAAGTATCCCAATATAAATCACATGACCTTGGGGATGCTGCAAGGATCATAAGTCTGAAAAATGGTTGTAAGTCACTTTTTTCAGTGTCATTGTAACTTTGAACAGTCACTAAATGAATTGTTGTAAGTCGAGGAGTACCTGTAAATGAGTTACTGAATATGTGGTTGGTATTTTATATGAGGGGCTGACAGTAATGTATATAATGTGTGCTGGGTGGAGGGGGCTTTTGCAGCCACCAACCTAACAACTTGCTGTCATTATTCTTAGGTAAAGAATAAAGAACTTAATTCATGCTTGTTTTCTTGATCCCAGTTCAGAAACCAATTCGGTAAGGAATAAAATATTTGAACACTACATCAACTGAAGTTCAGAGTAGCTTTCAAGGACCCTTCAAAAGTGACTCTGTGGCTGGTAAACTTTTGCAGCACATGTGAAACTGTATGGATATCTGTTCTTGTAGCCTTTACTTTATAACTTTATTCCCATTTTCATTTCCACCCAAAAAATTGGCTTCCTGTTATTGTTCAAGGTGCTATTAAAATGAATTAAAAATAAATGACCTTTTAATAACTGGTTAGTGCCCTGGGGTAAGTGTTAAGTAGAAAGCTAATTTTGGCTTAAGACTTGCAAGACCTGCATAATGATATTGGCTCTGACCTCTTGTGCTATAATAGAAGTGAGAGCTCCCTATTGCTGAACAAGAGGTGTTGTTTTTTTTTTAAATAAGGGCAGCTGAAATTATATTTGGAAGGCACCATCCCCAAATACTTTAGAATTTGAGAGTTATTTCTTGCTATAATTTTATGCCCATGACACCTTATATTTCAAATATTGATAAATAAACTTCTAACCTTAGAAATAAAGAGATGATTTTGAGCCTGCAAATTTCAGCATAAATAAACACCTCTTTGGCATCTCTGACCCATATTCCCAATGGGATTATGTTCCTCCTCATTAACCTAGTAGATGCAAGAATTAAATTAGTAGCTGAGAAAATGCTGTGCTGTTCTGTGCTGGAAGGCCTCTATATAGAAACTACCCAGCCTTTTTCTCGATTTAATAAGAGTTGTCATCTTCATCTTCTCTATAGTCTTGCACTGCAAAGGTTTAGCAAACTGAGTACATTATTGCTCTTGAGTAAAAGTAAAGACCTTTAGTTTTAGTGGCTTCTTTAATGAACAAATGACTGGGAAAATACTGTACAGTAGTTTACATTTCTGGTCCTTGTCCTGTCATTTGATGGGTAAAATGTTCAGATATCTTTTTGATTTCAGAAAAGACAGGCACAGCCACACTTCTCTGTGCATAAATGATTCACCTGTGGAGATGGTTACCAGCATCAAATTCCTGGATGTGCAGTTAATGTGTAAGCTGGCTTGATCACTCAACAGTGAGAAACTGGTGAAGCGGGCCCAGCAGCACCTGCATTTTCTGCGTCGCATGAGAAAAGCACATCTTCCTTCCCCTGTCCTGACCACTTTCTACAGGGGGATGATTGAGAGCATCCTGTCATACAGCATCACAGTCTAATTTGGAAGCATCACCGCTTCAGACAGGAAGACGGTGCAGAGAGTGGTGAGAATGGCCGAAAAGATCATTGGCAGTTCCCTCCCTCCCATCTAGGACATAGCACAGAAGCATTGCTTGAGCAGTATCCGTAAGATTATCTGGGACACTATACATCCTCTTCATGACCTGTTTTCCTTGTTACCTTCTGGGAGGAGGCTTCGTGGTATCCGTAGCAGAACATTCAGATTCAGCCATAGTTTCGTTCCATATAGCATTAACCTTTAAAACTCTCAAGCTTCCTCCTTCCATTATATGTTCAAGATGGACAGTATTTAATATTTATTTGCTATGTATATGTAGGGGTGTGGATCTGTACATATGTTGTACATAGTATATTTTAGGGGTGTGTCATGTATGTGTTTCACTTTGAGAGCGGGCAACTAAATGTCATTTTTGATGTGTGCCTTTGTGCCCACAGTAAAAAAATGCCAATAAAGGTTATCTTATCTTATCTTATCATCTTACCTTACCTTACCATCTATGTGTATCACTTTTTTTTCTTTTACTTAAATTGGTGTTTTCTGACTTTCATTTTGGCCTCCTCATCTCTTCTAGTTTCCAATAACTATAACCAGTGCTTTTTTTTTATATATATATATATATATATATATATATATATAGGTCTTTGGTTGTTCGGGTTTTCTCCCGCGTAAAATTGGAAGTGTCTTGGCAACGTTTCGACGAAGTCACATTCGTCATCTTCAGGCTGGTGTTTTTAGCTTCTTGCTTTGAGCAGCAATGTGTGGTTTTAGCTGTATATATATATATATATATAAAGGTGCCGGAACTCACACATGTCATACAACCCGCCATGCCTATCCTACAAGGTTCCATACAAAAAAGGTACCGGAACTCCATTCTGGGCGTTCTATGAATAAAAAAAGCCCTGACTATACCTCTTTGGTCATTTCAGGTATCTTGAGCTTTGGGTAACACTTTTTCTCTTTTTCCCATTCTCTCACTAGGCAGAGGAGAACATTAAAATAAAATAGCTGGCAAGAAAAAAGTTTAAACACAAATTTGATATGATTAGTCAACCTTCCTTCCTTATTAGGTGAAAACCCTACTTCTAGATGGAGGTGTGAAGGATGTTTATGTGCTGGCAGATTTCTTGCCCTATTACTTCATAAAGAGTGAGTATTAATGGGCTCTATCAAAGTTGAGTTAGCAGAAGATTCATTATGAATCATTCATTATTTTCATATTTGTAGTTCTTCCTAGCAAGGAAGCATATGATGAACAGGGTGTTTTACTGAAAGTGGTAAAGCAAATAACACTGTTTATTAACTAGGAGCAACTTCTTTTCTTAAAAAAAGGAAGAAGAGGAGGAATGGTTTTAATGTAAAAAAAATGTAAATAATAATTGATGACTAGGTTTTCATAAATGTGATAAATTCAGCAACAGATTTTTTTTATTGGTCATTGAGTAGAACTGAATGGTTGTGAAATCCTGAAATACTATACATCTCTAACAGTAAAACACTCCCTCTGCTCTCCATCTTTCTTTCTCACATACCCTCAACATATAATAGTTGCTCCTATTCAGCAACATGATATTCATTAAATAAAAAACTCTACAAATGAGACAATGTGGTTTGGTAATTAATGTGCTAGACTAGGAATGGGGAATCCCAGATTCTAGTCCTTCCTTAGGCATGGAAGCTAGCCGGGTGACTGGAACAGCTCCTTTCTCCTAACCCTGCATTAAGAAAAAAAATTACCAATTCACAATCATACAATGATTCTTAAACTTCAGTGAAAATATCTTTATCAGTATTTGGGCTGATTTTATATACTGTAGGCAGGTAAGTGGAAGGGAGGGGGGAGGATAATACAAATAAATGTTCTGTGTTATATAGGCACCCCCTTGGCCCAACCTAATTAGAAGTGTGATAAAAATATTTAAGACATGTTTACTAATGTACTTTTTTTAGGCACAAACAAGCAGACTCACATGTGCAGAGTTCAAGCTAATTACTTTATTATGTTCTGCCTATAATACAGGAATCTTCCCTGACTTCTCTTTGGAACAGATGAAGCTCCAAGGAACTCGGGGGGGGGGGAAGGGGAGGAACGGTTGGTCCTAGCCCTTTTGAGGTTGTGCAGTAACTCCAAACTAACTCTGCACTTGAGCCCTCCTCCCTGCCAGGTTTGGTGCTTCCCAACATTTTTACATTTGTATATTAGCAAATCAGTCCTATATTGTTGCCACAAAAACAGCCCAATGTTTTCCGTATAGTTGACTATATGATTATATATCACCAAGTCATTTTTTATTCTTTAGCAACAAAATAAATAGATTTTCTCCATGATGATGTGTCCCTAACCTGTTTTTTTACATTTCCCAACAGTGCACTCATTGTCACTATAACTGAGTCCATCCATCTTGCTCTTGGTTGTTCTCTTTCCTTCTACCTTTCCCAGCAATACCTGAGAGCATGGTCTTTGCATAATGTGTACAAAATAGGATACTTTGAGCCTGGTCATTTGTCCTTTGAGTCAGAGCTCTGGGTTGATTTGTCCAATGAGCTATTGCTTTATTTTCTTGAATGTTCATGATATTCTCAGGAGTCTTCTCCAACACCAAAAATCAAAGGTGTGAATATTTTTCCTATCCTGCTTCTTTAAAGTCCAACTTTTTCTTCCATAGATGGTCACTGGTAACAACATAACTTACATGATACTGATCTTTATAAAGATAGACACATAATGGCATTTGAATAGCCTTCTCGTGGCCTTCATAGCTGCTATACTAAGTGCTAGCTTAAGAGTATTTCTTGATTGCATGTTCCTTTACAGTTTATGGTTGATCCTAAAAGGCAGAAGCTATCTACCTCTTTAGTATCTACATTGTCAGTTATAAGGCTGGTTCTTCTACCTGTTGTCATAAAACAAGTTTGGGCTTCTTTATAATGCATTTTTATTGGATTTCTTAACGTTTATTTACTCAGTTTGCAGATCTTTTGCATTTCTGGCTATCAGAGTAGTGCCAACCTCAGCATAACTGAGGTTATTGATTATTTCTTCCTGTAATTTTAAAACTAAATCCATCTTCTTCCAACCTATTTCTCTTAATATATATTCCATATATAGGTTGAATAAATAAGGGAGAATATGTAGCTTTGTCATTTTTATTTTTTTTGTCAATCTGGATCCAGTCTGTTTCATTACATTCTATCTTTATTGTGGCTTTATGACCTGTATATAATTTTTTCATGGGAACAATAAAATGTTCTGAGCACTTTCCAATGCTTGACATGATTATCACAATCAAAGACTTTTCTGCAATCAGTTAAGCAAATACTAACTTCTTTTTGGTATTATTAGTTTTTCTCAATTTTTCAGCATGTAGCAACAATGATGTCTCATGTTCCTCAGCCAGCTTGTACATCTGGGATTTCTTTTTCTATGTAAAACTCTAATCTGCATTGGATGATCCTAAGCATGATTTCACCAGCATCTAAAAGAAAGCATATTTTATGATAATTGGCATTCTGTTAAGTTTCCTTTCTTTGGAATTGGAAGATATATTGACCTCTTTCAAGCAGTTGGCCACTGTGTTCTTCTACAGATTTGCTGGCATAGCTTCGTTAGAATCTTGACTGATTCTTCTTCTGTTGCTTGTCGTATTTCAGTGGCTATTCCATCAGTTCCTGTAATCTTTCAACTTGGTAATATCCAGAGTACTGATCTAACTACATCTTCCAGGATTACATATTACATATTTCCTAACATATATGTTGACATCTCTACTGTATAGTGTTGCAGTATATTCCTTCCATCTTCCTTTGATTTTCTTTGAATCAGTCACTATCTATCTATTGATATCTTTAGCATACCATTTGAGTTTGGAATCTCCTTCTGAGTTCAGAGATCTGTTGAAATATTTTCTATGTTTTTCCCTGTCTGTTTCCATCTTCAGTGTTTTTACAGATATTTTGTAATACTTCTTCTTATCTCTCCCAAGAGCTCTCTGAAACTCTGTGTTAAATTCCTTTCTGAGATTTTTGTCCTTGGTTTTGGCTTCTCTTCTCGGCAATTTCCATAGTTTATTCTACTGTACAATTTGCTTTCTCCTCTATCTACATTTTTGGCAGTCTTTTCACATTCACCTTTAGCAATTTTTTTTAAAAATCATTCCATAATTTCTCTCGTTTTCTATCACTGAGGTTCAGAACTTCAAAGCGATTCCTCATGTTTTCCTTGAAAAGGGTGAATATATGTTCAAGATCATATGGAAACTGATTGGCTTTCTTCATCTTTAGCTTAACTTGAAACTTGTACATTGGCATGTCTTTGATACTGTAATTGAGTTCCTCCACCTCTTTTTAGCAGTAATATAATCAATTTGATTTCTCTATACTTCATCTGATGATGTCCATGCATAGTGCCATTGTTTTAGTTGTTTGGAACAGTGCCAGCTATGAAGAAATCATTGGAGCAGCAGAAATTGCTAAGTCATCCTGCTATTTCATTTTGGTTTCCTGAGCCATACAATCCAACTACAGGTTGTCTATTTACAAACACAATTGATCCCAAAATTTTCATTTTTAAACAAGGCAATTGTTAAATTATTTGTGCCCCATTTTACAACCTTTTTGCCACATTTTTTAAATTAATCACTGCTGTTGTTAATCTGGCTTCCTGCAATGACTTTGTTTGTTGGAATCTTGCTGGGAAGGTAGAAAATGTTGATTACATGACTTGTATGATCTTCTGACTAAAAGTATCCTATCACAGTCCATCTCAATTCACTGATATCTAAGATGTCAATTTGTAGTTGTTTCGTTTCACCTTTTACTGTGTTGAGTTTTCCTGTCTTCATGCTTCTTTCATTCCATGTTCCTACTAGAATTCTATCTTTGCAACTTAGGTTTTTTTTTTTCTTGTATGGCAACATCAGCTAGATATCCCACAAGCTTTAATCTAGCCATATCACAAATTCCATTAATAGTCTGAAAGATGATCAGCTCTTCTTTAATAGGTTTTACATTTTCCTCAACAGGTTTTATATTTTTCTCAGTTTTATGTTTTTTATTTATGTAGTTTTCTGGGGTGGCATTCATACCTAGGGTTACTCCACTGGGAATAAATCCCAATGATCTTTGTTCATTCCTCCCAAGAACACCACGATGAGGCAGTAGAATAGGACTTGTGGGGGTGGGAGTGGTTTCCATATAGTTACCAGGAGATAAATCAATGGTATATTTACCTTTATTTTACCTATGTGTCGGGCAGAAGAAACCCATAAAGGGTTCAAGTTGACTACTTTATTTTGTTCTACCTATAATACAAGAATCTTCCAAGATTGCTTGCTTTCTCTTGGGAACAACCAGATCAGGTTCAATGAAACTTAGCAAGTGTCAGGCTCATGTCTCTTACAATGATTCAAGGCTAATTCCTTGCTTGATCCTTCTTTCTTACGTGGCTGGCAGTTTCTGACAACTGGATAAAGATGAAAATTTCGGAACATTGTCTTTTCCATCCAGGTTATAAAAAGATACAATTTTTAAAGACAGAAAGACTGAAATGAAGGAATTATTCAGAGAACAACAATGGAAATGATGGATAATTTTAAAATGGCACAAATGCCAAATTACCCTGTACAGTTATACTATAGGAAGATACCACTATATTCATTCCATAGCTTTATTTATTTCTATATTTAACAAAGATGGTTTGGTATGAAACCCCTCTGGTTATTTATGTCCTCTAACTTGTCATAATTGCTACAGCAAATTTATATATTTATTGTGCCATACACTAAATAAATAAATAAATAAATCTCTTGTAGCAACTCTGACACTTTATTTGTAAAATAACTTCCCCCTCCTCCTTTCCTGCTATAGATTCTTGTATCCTAAAAAAGCTTTAAGTGTTTAATAACTATCTAATCTATACCATGTCCATATTTTCTCTATTTAAAACTTCATTTCTGAAAAGCTTACCTTTGGAAAACTTCTTGGGAAACCATGAAGGTAGCCACACAATACTAAATTAAAGCACTTACAAAGGTCATTAAAACAGGAAACAACCTATGAAAAACAGAAATTGAAAGAGTGAACAAAAATTACCCTATGCAACTGCTGAAACAACTTGCAACCAGCTGAAAGTTACTAGTAGTTTAATCCTAAAGCATCTACTCAGAAGTAAAACCAACTGCCTTGGGTTTTACCTTATCTGACTAATTTCCCCAGTGTAATGCATGGTCTTTTGTTAAAATCATACATGGGACTAGGAGACCTTGTGTATATAATTTCAATATTTATTTATTCTAAAAAAGATGTGTTATTTTTAATATTTTAAACTATAAAAATGAAAGTTGTAGCATAGTGGAAACTCAAGAAGGTTTAAAAATGGATAATAGCACTAAATGACCCTTGTTTATTTATTTTTATTTTGTTTTTTAAAAATGAGAATAGTTACTCAATTTCCTTTCTATCGGGTGGGTTCCAATTGGTGAAGGTTGGGCAGAAGAGATCTCACCTTTGCCTCTGTGGTATGGATGCCACTAGGGTCATTGCTTTCTATTCTCCTATTTAATAGCAATAGCACTTAGACCTATAAATGGCTTCAAGGTGCTTTACAGCCCTTTCTAAGAGGTTTACAGAGTCAGTATATTGTCCCCAACAATATGGGTCCTCATTTTACTAACCTCGGAAGGATGCAAGGTTGAGTCAAGCTTGAGCCAATGAGGATCAAACTCCTGGAGTGAGCAGTGAGTTCGTCTGCAATACTGCATTCTAACACTGAGCCATCACATCTACATGAGACCATTGAATGAGCTGATTCATCACCATGGGGTCAGGGTGTCATCAGTATGCTTAATGTCTTGTGTATCTTTTCAAGTTAGCTAGGATTCTTTTAAATGATCCACTGAGATCTTACAGCAGTATCCAAAGGATTTGTTGCCAAAACCAGCATTGCGGTATTGGCACTGCAAGCTCCACCCCTTTAGGGCGAGCGGGCAAAGGGCAGGGCTTGTTTTGTAATGCCACAACACTGATTCTCTCTTACCACCTGGAGATGCCACTGAGATATTTCAAAAAATATGCTTGGATTATTAAGTCCATATTTAAAGTTGGTGAAAGAATATTAAAAGTTGTTTAGTCCTCCAAGAAAAAAAACTTTTCCTGTACAAGGAAACTGCAAGGACCTATAGCTAACTTTAAATGCTGCTACACTTTTAGAATGATTAGCATTTAGGTTGCTAAATTTAGCTGCAGCACTGCTGTCAGATACTGATAAGCTAAAATTACATCCTTTTGCTTTGCTTGCTATTGAAAAATATTTCAGAGGATTATTACATTTATAATCAGGATTATCAGTCTCTCTCCATACTGGATTTAAGTCTTGTGGTGGAAGAATGATTTCATACTTGACTACTTTGTGTTCTCAGACAATATGCACCATAAATTTACCTCTTAATAGACCAACTATAAAAAGAGCACGGAAGCAAATTCATCTAAGAGTTTTAAGTAGTATTCATCAAAATAGTGATTTCTCTCTTTCTCTTTTTGCTAAACATTCTTATGATGTTGACAGCTCAACACACATTTGCACTACTGAGTCATAGATTAATAGAATTTAAGAGTTGGAAGGGACCTTGAAGATTATCTAACCCAATATCCTGTCCAGGAATTCAATTCTATTTTGGGTGCCTCAAAATATATTAAAGATCTCACAAAGTATTTCCCAAAATTAGAATTCCATTTTCCCATTCTCCTCGTCCCGTTTAAAATCAACTGGAAGCTGATGAAGATCAGATCCATTAAGGACTCTATCTACTGGTTTCATCTCTTCTTATCCCACTTCTTCTACTAGACCAGTATTTCTAAACCTAGATAACTTGAAGTATAGAGTTCAATTCTCAGAATTCCCCAGCCAACATATTTCTCAACATCTTAAGTTGCCAAGGTGAGAAATACTGTGTTAGATCATGGACCATCCTGTCAAACTGGGAGAGTGCTTCCATTGACCATCTCTGTAACAATAGCAGCCCAGGCAAGAGATGGATGTTCACTCTCCCCCAAATACTTTTGCATGGAATTTTCCACTTATTCAAGATATGCTTCACCCATGGAATACAATCTTATTACTGAAATACCCCCAGTCAATAATTACACCCTAAACTAGTTGTGGTGGATGTTTTTGTCACCATGGTTCTCTTCATCCCTTGCAACGGATTGCCCACTGCCAAAGAAAAAGCTCAACGTTTTGGGGGGACCGTGTCTTTTGCTAAGAGGTATAGTGTCCAGACTGATTCCTAACAGAGATAGTCAATTTCAATCTATGATTTTAGCTTATTTCATAAATGGCAACTTAGTCCTGATGTCATGAAAAGTGGAAAGAAATGGTTCAAAACATTCTGAGAATCTACCTTCATGAACTCATTAATAAACAAGGGTTGGAAATTCTTCCTGCAGTTTCCAAGATTATATACGTTACCTTATCTAATATTAAAAACTTACTGAAGTATGTGTAATTCTTTCCTCCAGTCTTGCCCAGCAGAATGGGTCTATTAATTGATAGTTGTATAAACTGAGCACTGTCTTCCAAGCTACTGCAGAGCTCTAAAGTAGAGACCACAAGGTTCTCTGCAGTCCCCATAAAACTGTTTCCCTCTTTGATTCTTCATATTGCGATCAAACTGTAGGTTTTAGTCTGTTAGAATGATAAGATGGTTAAATAAATGATTGAAGAGAATAACCAACTCACTAAATTTAGTGTAGATTAAATTAATATCCTTACTCTGTAGCTTTGTTGAATTTGTGTCTTGGCAACCATACAAAATTCTGATGCATCCCTTAGCATGGAGGAAAAAAAAGTTCTGTGCATATAATTCTCAAGCTGGTGACTATATAAAGCTTCAAAAATATGTTCCAAATGCGTATGTTCTATAGTAAGTGTTGCCATTATATATCATTGTATTTTAAATGTGTGGGATTCAAATGACATTTGTCTCACTTCAATTTTGTTGAAATTCATAGGGCAAAAGTATGAAATCTTCTTGATCTCATTGCAATTAATGCATGATTAACTTCTCCTGGATTCAACCCATTGTGTTTTTCCAGAAAATTCTAAATATAGTTATTCCTAAAATTGATTAGCCCTCTTTTATTACTGCCTTGTAAACTATCATCCGGCAGTTAATTGACTTTTTGAGACAAGTTCCAAAAGTTTGTTTATCTGAAATGGACCTCAAGTTGAGACAAACACATGTCTTTCAGGGCAGGAACAAATCCTCAGCAATTTTACTCTGTTATAATCAAAATTCTCTGCAAATACTGGTGGTAAGCTAGAAACAGTAGGCAGTCCTTTGGATTGGTTTATGATCCCATTTGCAAAGAAACGAGAAACATCAATTTAACATAACTATGAATTGCTAACAAAGGGAATGGCAAGCAATTGGATACTCCAGTCAATTACATATGGCCTTTCATTATTAGCAGCCATTCCAACACCATAGTATAATGGAGGTTACAGTACATTAAATGCAAATTGTTGTCTGCATGTGTGGCTGACTTAACATTCCTCAATCAGTTTTATTATAATGCTGGAGGCTATAAGCTAAATATAGCAAACAACTGCATTGTACTGAAAGAGTCTATAGTTTGTGAAGGATTAATTGGAAGTGGCAGAATTCCAAAGAGAATTTGAAAAGCTGTTCTATAGCACTTTGGCTGCAATATCCAGCTCCCCTATTCGCTATAAGAAGAAATGCCAAACAATGTTTAAGCAACTGTGCTTAGGTAGACTTCACACATGCCTGCTTCATTTTATCACAATTATCCTCATTGAATAAAACAATCAAATCCAGGCTGTACAAATGTAAAACACTCCAAGCAAGTTAAAGTCACCTTTCCAGAAATGTTGAAAGACAGGTATTCTGTTTCAGGAAAAGAGGCATTGAGACGAAGCAACAAGTTCCAACAGTCTCCTTTATTGCAAACCAACAGAACAGCTTTTAAAATGGTGCGCCCCCTTTTATAGCCCCCTTACACAATACCTTGCTGGCCAATCATTGCAAAGGCTGGAAGCAGCCTTTCTTGTCCCAGGCATCCACATGGTCTGCCCGGGCCAATCGCTGCAGCCTGTGCTTGCCGGCCCAGGACATAACAATAGGAAAAATCAAATTAGAAAAGAATGCTTGATCACAAAAGTCATTTAAACGTGTTTCACAAGGGTTAGATTATCATTCAGCACGTTTCGCAGCTGAACACAAATTCCAAAGAAGGTTTCCTTTAAAATGGATATTTGAAGTACTGTCCTTAATTTCTTTTAACCCTCATACACAAAATGCAGCTCTTTTTTCTCTTCTAATTTAAACAGAAACTAGCTTTTAGGCTGTCCCAAAGATGCTTTTTCAAAAGGCAACTGGGTTTTGTTTTTCCTTGAAGATGTTTCGCTTCTCACTCAAGAAGCTTCTTCAGTTTTGACTCAATAGTGATAAGAGTTTCAGTTGTGCAGGGAGCTAGAGTTTCTTGCACGGATTTCTTTTAACAAGGAAAGCTATTGTTTGCATAAAGATGTTTTCTGTTGACCATGAAGATATTAATATTTCTGCAAAGGTATTATGAATGAGCACATTCAAGCTTCTAAAAAGCCTTTGAACTTAGTAGTTTTGCTTATTTAAATTGCATTTCACTCTGGTTGCAATCTCGTGATTCAGCATATCCCAGAATATGATTTTAATTGGTTATGAGAAAGGAGTTCAATTATTCTTTATTTATTTGTAGCTGTGTGTGTATGTATGTATGTATGTATGTGTATATATATATATATATATATATATATATATATATATTTGTATATGTATGTATATATACATACATACATACATCACCTCACACGTAAAAAACTCATTCCAGTTTATAGAGATCATAAAGAAACAAAGCTTACAGCCCAGCGACCTACTAGTGAGCTTCGATGTCATATCCCTCTTCACCCAAGTGCCTATCAAAGAAGCCTTGACAGCTATTCAAAACAAATATAACCCCCCCAAACACATCTTAGATCTGACCAACCACTGCCTATCCAACACATACTTCATCTATAATGGACAAAAATACAAACAAACAGAAGGAGCACCCATGGGATCACCCCTCTCACCTGTCATTGCCAACCTCTACATGGAACACTTTGAAACCCAAGCTCTAGAAAAATCGGATCACAAACCCAAACTCTGGCTCAGATATGTAGACGACACCTTCATAATCTGGCCACATGGGAAAGAAAAACTGGACAACTTCCTCACACACCTCAACAGCCTACACCCCAAAATACAGTTCACCATGGAAACAGAAGCTAACAACCAACTTCCCTTCCTGGATGTCTTAGTCTACAAGAAATCCAATGGCTCCCTAGGACACACCATCTACCAGAAGAAAACACACACAAACCGCTATCTGCACGCTCTCTCACACCACCACCCAGCACAGATCAACTCTGTAGCCAAGACACTCATCTCCAGAACAAAACGCTTAGCTGACGAACAACACCTAAAACCCGAACTACACACTCTCACCAATGTACTAACATCCAATGGATTCCATAGAAATAAGATTACAAACCTAATCCAAAAAGAAACCCCCACTAAAATCCAAGACAAAGAACAAGAAAACGGCAAAGCCCTCCTCCCATACATAAAAGGCACCACAGACAGAATCAGTAAGATCCTCCATAAACACAACATCAAAACAGCATTCTGCACAAACAGAAAAATATCCACCATCCTTAGAAACCCCAAAGATAAAATTGAATTAGAAAATCAAGGAGTATACGAAATCCCATGCACCACTTGTCCCACCACATACATCGGACAAACCAACAGAAGAATAAGTGCACGCATTGAAGAACATAAGAACTCAGTCAAAAAAGAGGAACCAACATCTTCCCTGGTCCAACACCTTAAAGCCACAGGACACGAAATTGACTTTAAAAATACCAGAACCATTGCCAAAAGTGAACATTTTAATAACAGAATAATCAGAGAAGCCATCGAGATAGAAAAACGCCCACACAGCATGAACAAGCGAGATGATACCTCCCGCCTACCAGCCATTTGGAAACCTGCCCTTATTGACAAACGACTCCCTAACCCCAAAATCTTAAACCCCTCTGCAACTCAGACTAACCTGAGCACAACCAAACAGAACACTCCCCCAGCCAATCAGAGCACAGCCAAGCCCCTAACCATTCAGAACACACCTCCACCCAATCAGAACACAGCCAAGCTCCCATCCAATCAGTTCATACCCTCACTGGCAGTTAAAAGGAAGAAACAGCTAAAACCACACATTGCTGCTCAAAGCAAGAAGCTAAAATCACCAGCCTGAAGATGACGAATGTGACTTCGTCGAAACGTTGCCAAGACACTTCCAATTTTACGCGGGAGAAAACCCGAACAACCAAAGACCTATATATATATAAATACCTATATATATATATATATATATATGTGTATATATATATATATATATATATATATATATATATATATATATATATATATATATATATTTCATATATATATGAAATGAGAGAATTAAGACCCTAAATATCCTTTCCATATTTCACTTCTTACAAAAAAAACCTATGCTGTTTGGCATTAGTACTAAACAATATATTTCTTTTATATTGTTACATTTATATTTATTCTTCCAAGATAATATAATATGATTTTACCCAATCTGCTTACTTATTTATGAAATTTATATAGCTGACCATCTCATCAAAAGTGACTCTTGAGGATGTACAACAGTTAATACAACAATAAATATATAATCTTAGTCATTTTAACTTAATGAGCTGTATTGTGGGTTAAGCTGGAGTATGTATTTAGGTTAGATAAATAGAAATATTAATGTAAGAGAAAATTAATCTTATTGTATATAATACAGATAGGGAAATTTGGAGAGAGGAGTTGCTTGGACATTACCCCTGAATTGTATCTGAAGAGGGATGAGAGGGAAGAAAGGAGAGGAGAGAGAAAAGAGTAAAGGAGGGGAGAAGGAAGTAGGAAGGTTGGAGGAGAAGAGAAGTGGGGAGAAAGGGGAGGAGAGTGGTGAAGGATAGAGAAAAGGAGAGGAAGAAGAGGGAAGTAGGGAAGAGAAGAAAGGGAGAAAGAAGGTAGAGAAGAAGCAGTGTGGATACAGTGAAAGGGGAAATGGGCGAGCAACACCAAAAGTCATGTGTATGTATTTATTTCATTTTATTAAAAGTATCTTATATATGAATGTAAAAAGAATGTATGTTAACATCTGATAAATATCACGGTATATGTATGGGGGAGAGTTTGGAAAAATAAAAAATAATTAAAAAAAGCTGAAGTATGTATTTGATTTTTATCCCATCTTTATTACTTTATAAATAACTCAAGGCTGCACACATATTTAATACTTGTTCCTCTTGCTACTTTTGCTACAACAACAACCCTGTGAGGTGGGTTACGTTGAGAGAGAAGGATGGGTCCAAAGTCACCAATAGGTTTTGTGCCTAAGGCAAGTCTCAGAGTCTACTGATTTCCTGCTTGTGCCTTTAACCACTACACAAACTGGATCTCAACATAGTAGCCACACTGTTATGCAATAGACATTCCCATGCTTTAAATTCTAAAATTATGTCTTCTTGATAAGATAATAACAATGTTAATGAGAATGCTTTAATTATACACATGGTTAGAAGCTGCCTCTTAGCTGAATATAAGCAGGTATTGCATTCTGTGTGTTTTTCAAAACTTTGGCTAGGAATTACCCATGTGTTAACAATCCTTCTGGCAGACACAGAGCATGAAAACAGAATTCCATGTGACAATTGAAAATTCCCTGCAGCAGAAGCAATCACAGTTGGCTTGGGTGCTGTGACTTCAGCTTGGTTTCCTTAGAAACCATTTGCTGTTGAATGTAATTTTCATTGCTAACAGACTTCATTTGTTTAGAGGCTGGAGTCATTTGTGCAAGTGCCAAGCTTTTGTATGCTTTTCAATCTCAGGCAAAAAAGTTCACTTCTGAGTTTCTTTTGCATTGGTCCTGAAGGCAGGGAAGGGGGGATATATAGGTTTTACACCTTCACCTCTTCTCTTCATGCATTATTCAGTTTGGAAATGATTTCTTGCCATATTTAAATCTATTCCTTTAGTGAAAGCAATTGTCAGTTAAAATAGTGCTGGCCAATATTAGAGAATGAAGTGTAGCACTGAGAATTATTAAATTGGAAGGAGACATTTATGCCATTGAATGTAACATCCTGCTCAATGCAGATCAAAGCATCTTTGACCAATGATAGTCTAAGCTATAGAAAACATCCAGCACATTATTACAGGTAAATGAATCTTTAATGTCTCTTTGTGGAACTAGTTTCTAGCTTTTGATCTTCATTGCTTTTCTGTACATTAGTTCCAATTTCATCTTCTTCAAGTGTTTGGCTAGAATAACTGAAGACTGGGATCCAAGCCTAGGACCTAATACTCAAGCAAAGTATACCTTTCCTGATATAATACCTTTGTCTTTTGAAACTACATCACATTGTTGACCATATTGAGTTTGCAATCGACTATTATTCCTCAATATTTTTCATAAGTACTACAAATCAGATATCCACCACACTCCATAACTCTGTACTTGATTTATGTTTCCTAAGTGACTCTCATTTGACTCTGTTAAATTAATTATGGTTTATGGAAGTAAGTTACCTTGGAAGGACTTAATTATAAGAAATCCATGCTAATTTATAATAACTGATTATTTTCCACATGCTTATGGAACAATTGTTTCAGGGTCTACTATAGAATTTCCCCAGATATTGATAACTGACTGCTCTGTAGTTCTATGGGCATTCCTTTTTCACTTCTTAAGGAAAAAAAATAGCAATCCTTCTTCCCAATTATGTAGTACTAATTGTTCATTGGTTATAAAGAAATAACTAAGTGGATCAGTGAAGTGCTGTAGACATAGTATCCTTGGATTTCAGTC